TATACAGGCTTCACATTCCCACTCTTAAATTTCAATTGAATGCAGTAACAAGCTATGCAGTGTCAACACAAAAGCTTAATAAGATTGTATCTATCTCTGTCTCTTTAAATCTCTATATGAAGCCTATTGCTGGTTAAAATTAGCATATTATCCTTACTGGATCCTACTGCTGCTGACAAAGGATTCTGATTTCAAACTTGTCTGAAGATTCTTGCACAACAACCTCCTTGTGTACAGTAGATTATACTATCTCAGATTCCCTAATCCTCATTAAAAACCTCACGAAGACTTTAGTCAGCACATCCTTTCCAGGTTTGAGGATTATTGCTCATATTTCTGCAGGAAGACAAAAAGGAGAAAGGAAAGATTTTTAACCACGATATGTCCAGGTGATACAGTATTTTGATAAATTGGGGTTTTCTCATTCTTTATGCTTTTTCCTTAAAGCTTAATAACATATCATGTGGAATGCGTTCACAGCAAGGGCAGCGCTCAGCCATTTAAATGCTGAAACTGTTATTGTTCTCTAATTTGATAACGTAATACTAGGTACTTGACAGGAGACATAGCAAGACATTGCCCTTGCCCCTCTGAGTCCAAACCCTAAATTCCGTGTGATCTACCAAGGACCAGTGCCAAGCAGCAGATACACAGATGAAATACCACAGTAGTTTAATCGTACATAAAATTTAAGCACATACCTATACTCTGGCACATCCTTCTCCTTGTATTTTAATAAAAATGCAGGAAAAGAAAGATAGAATGCAGCAAATATGATTGCCTATGCAACATATCGTTTTCATGGAGCACAGCAGAGAGAGGATGCTACGCAAAATATGGTTACATTGAAAAAGGGAATAAAAAATGTCCCCTGAAAATACAGAGTTCAAGCTGACAGAAACTAATGACTTGTTAGGCCTGGCTCATGGAAAACCTACAAACATGTTTAAATTTACTCAGTGAGGAGTTTCATTGACTTAGTATACTTCCTCTTCCACTTCAAAGAATATATGTAATTTCACATATCAAAAAGCAGTAATGCCGGTCCAAGAGGCAGCGAGATGTTCCCCATGCTGGGTTAATATCCTGGGATGCAGATGAAACCGGAGAGAACAACTCACACCAACGGCAACGGTGTTGTGCATACGCATTCAGTGCTGCATTGCAGTTAACACCTGGCCAAGTTTGTTGTATTAAAAATAACTCACTGATTAAAAAGATGCCGTTATTTTGGGGGTTCAATGTAACATGTAGAAATACAAAGCTTTGCAAAGTGATAACAAAATTCAGATCGGTTTCCTGCTGGGAGCAGGAACTGGTGACTTGGAAGCCAGGTAGTTTTTTGCATGATTTGTTTATTTAAAAAAAAATGTTTTCTCAACCAATATGTTAGAAATATCATCACAGGCCTCTCTTTTTTTGCAAACTTAACTAAAGTGTTACCCTGTTTCAGGAGACACTGTTGCCTAACTCCTTCCCCATGGTTTAGGTAAGTTTCATTGCTTGATCAGCAGATTCTTCATTCCCACTACAAGTCATTTTGCCACCTGTGCTTTGCCAACAACCACCTGGCTCGGAAAAGTGGATCTGGGCATCTTCTAAGAGTGCAGAACGTAACAGAGCCTTGGAGCTCCCAACCACCAGCCACAACAGCTTATATGATTGGATCTTTACCTCCTTCTATGGAAACTTTCCCTCTGGACCTTTGTGTCAGTCATCACAATGGCGATTTGTGATGACAAGTGAGTTAAAGTACCTGACCGTGGATCCAAGACTCAGCCACATGTCTTCGGAGCCAAAAGTAATTGAAATGTCACTAGCCATATAATTTCCTTACGTGCTTTTGGAATAGACACAGACATAACGTAATCACATTTAACCATGCCAGTTATATGGCTTCCCATTCCTTATACCTATTTTTGCAATAACAATATTCCTATTGACTTCAGTAAGATTTCCCCCTAATGAGCTAGCCATAGCACCGCTTATCATAATGAGCAAAAGCTGAAGGAGAACCACACTGGACATGAATTTGGTGGTTACAAAGTTTGATTAACACACAGAGGATAAGTCTCACTCTTATTTTACAAACTGAAGGCTTCCTGTACTGTTGTACTGGTGTATTTCATTCCAACACAGAGGACTCTTTCTGGAACTATTCTACCCTTAGCTTTATTGTGAATGTCTGTGTAGAAATGGGTATAAAGTGTCTATGTGGAAAATTATCTGCCAGCTCCAGCTGTGGATAACTGTTGAATAAAAACAGATCATCAATTGATTTTTACAAAGGCTGTGGAATGATAATTTGGCGGTAAATTGGAGCACACAGCTTGGATTTGAGACAGGCGCCTACAAAAAGGACACTGTCACCCAATGTCCTCTGTCCCCTTCAATAAATAGTACCATCTCCCCCTAGTTTTAAAACGCTACCTGCTGTTGGACAACCTCTGAGAATAATGATGAAGCTGGTTCTGTAAGTTGTCTAGCCTGGCAAGGATGCCTTCATCAATAGCACGTATTTGCTGTTTGAAAGCTTGGGGATGGTCTACGCTAAGGGGAGAGAGGTGTACCTCCAACCAGCAATATCGCCTGTGTCTCTGAGGCACATGTCATAGGAGTGAATGAGATAGATAGGCTGGATCACCTGGAGGTGGCCACGTCTCCCCATGGGTTATGGAATGCTCCTAGAAGACGAGATCAAACACTCAACCTTTACAAAGCTAAATTTTTGTGATAATTCCAGCATTTCTGAACTGGAGGATGAATGGAGAGAAAAACTTTTCTTAGCCTTCTGTCTTCTGCACTAACACGGAACTCAATTTCAGTATCTGGACCAGCTGCATGCTTTCCCTTTGTAGCCAATAAACAGAAATGGATACTCGTAGATTCCTGTTCCTAGGTGATATGTTTCATGCCAAAGTAGAAGTCTTAAATGGGTTAGGTAAATTCTACTTTCGAAGCATTCCCCTTTTCTTAATTGACCAGAAACGGGGCACAACATGATACTTACAAAAACCAAAAAGAAAATAATAAAATAAAAACCAAAAACTCAGCTTCATGTCTAACCACTTTTCTGACTCATGAAACTCATTCACAATCTTATTTCGGAATTTTTTTCAGCTTATATCGCCGTTTTAAAACGGTACAGTGGCATCTTACGCATATAAAATATGTGTGTAGGTGTGTGCATTTCTGTTTGTGTACACACATGTGCGTGCAGGTATATGAATCACCTATAGACCAGTCACCCTGGCACGTCTGCTTGTGGAAAGCAGGGTTGTGTACTGACTTGTCTGCCACCACAGTTAGCAGCAGAGAAACACTCTATCCTAAGTTATAGACCTCTATATTTGGATTTTATTATAAACATATAGAATTTAGATTAAAGCTTTATACAAAGAGTACCATAGATATTGAGTAGTTTGAATGTTTTCGGGATTTTTAGAGCTATTTTTGACCACCTAGTCGAAGCCAGCATCACTATTTTCTACTGTAACTGAAGGGTCCCAGGTACCATCTTAATGAGGAGCATCCCCACTGGGGATGGAAGGAGGCCAGACAGATGGACGGAGATCTTGTTGGTCGTGGCAGGAGCTGGAATTGGAAGCGGTGGTTGGGAGAGAAGGCACAAGCGCTTGGGCACGCGTAGCAAATTAGAGGATACGGCAGCAAAACATGACACTTCCCCAGCGATACGCCAGTGGGGGACCCAAGAGGCCCTACAATTCGCTGGAGCGAGCGCTCATTAGGATCAATTAAAATCAGGGTTGCCCTTATGACACGCCGGGGACTAAAAGCACCACGTTAAAGGCATGATCTGGTTGGGCCGGGGCTTAGGGTGAGACTTAAGAGAGGTAAAAAGAGCTTTTAGCTAAAAAGAGCTGATAGGAAACCAGGCCGGGGCTTGCCAAGGGGCAGGTGTGCTTCCAGCGGGCAGCGCTTCGGCGGCCGCTGAGGTAAAACACCAGTCAGAGGGGACTTGAGCCACAAACAGTGAGGAAACAGTAACACGCACACCCACACGCTTATTTTACTTTTTGCAAGTAAAATAAAGAACAGGACGAGCCCGCTCGTCCCGCTGAGGCCCGCTCTCCCGCCGCCTCCCTCAGCCCGCTAACGACAAACGGCCGCCCCGCCCCGCGCTGAGGCGCGGGCACGCGCAGCTGGCGGCTCCGCCCCCGCGGCCGCCCGC